CGATGCTTATGATGATGATGTTGTTGATGGTGATGACGATGGTGGTGTTTATGATGATATTGATGATGTTTATGATGATGATGATGATATGATAAAGATGATTGTGAATAAGGATGATGATGATGGTCCACAGAGGCGGATACAGCACGGTCAAAAAGAGGTTGCATGAATGTGCAAACTGAGTGAGAGTGCTAGGAAAGAGCCCCTGGTAGGTGTGCAAGGGGTGAATTCTTCTTAAACCTCTAGTCGTTGGGGAGTGCTGTTCCCCTTGTCGGGGAGAAAAACCGCAATTCGTCGGGGAGAAAAAAAAAATGTATTTTGTATATATTAGTATTATATTAGACAATAAAATCGATTAAATAAGCATTTGAAACCAAAAAATGGTCAAAAATTTCCTGGACCACTTTCGAAAGATTTTAAGAGACGCTCGACCACGCCCACTCTGCTCTCGTCGGGGGCATCGGCCCCGTCTGAGATAGGGGAACTCGGACCCCCCTCGGGAAATCCTGGCTCCACCCCTGGCATTATCATATTACTTATTAATTACCACAGTAGGCCTATCATCACACCACCAAATGAATGAGGTTAATTAATTCATGGGATTGTGTAGGCCTATTACAATGGCGTGAACAAATTATGTTATCATTCGATCGTCATGAATAAAATATATGAAAGTGTACAATTTAATAGAAATGAATATATATATTTATATATTTGATATAAACATAATACTATCACTATATCTTGATACAAACAATTTTCACGATATAATATTTAAAGATACCATGAGCTAAAAGTTGAAAAGTTTAATTCCATAATCGAATTTATTAATTATTTATATTAAATAAGTTATTAAATTACAATTAAAAATCTGAATGACATTTTTCCCCTGCCAATAAACAGGCAGTTAAATAATACCTTTGCTATATTCTTATTATATGCATAGATACTTAAATTAGCTGGTAGAGTCAAAGCAAGGATTTCAGTAGTAAACCGTCCGTAAATCAGGAAAAATAAGAAAAAATGCAGACAGAGGTCCAACAACTCTGACCAGGGTCCGAAACAAGGAACTGTCCAGAGCCTCGGTTTAGCGTCCCGGAATAAAATTCCTGGTGGGGTTCATGGGGAGAGATAGGATCGTCCATGTGATTTTGACCACAATATTGGGGAATGGCTATCGAAATAGCCTAACTTTGGTGGGATCGGCAAAATAAGTATTTTTTTTTGTCGTGGAGCCCAGGTTAGTTTATAAGTTATAGAGACCTCGTTTATTTGCGCTATAAAAATCCATCTATTATTATTATTATTAAGTTATGGTAACTCGGGGTACATGGGCAATGCTAGTTGTTTTTGAATTTAACAAATAATAATGTTCAGCTATTTACAGCACTTACATGTGCTACTGGAGCACATAGTCACATTGAGACAGTGACGCACACCCAAGTACGGCTCATGTATTTAAACTGTTTTGGTTTCCTGAATTTCATTTTTTTATATTTCGACTTTCTTGTGGAGGGGCGTCATGAGCGTTTTCTCTTAAGCGCCCGGTGCTTTTTAAATTGTCAGTATTATTATTACTACAGTGCACCGTCCAATTCGAGACCCCTCTAATTCCGAGACCCCTGTAATTCGAGACCACTTTTCCAAAGACCCAAATGACAATGTTCAACCTTTTAACACAACGCTAACACTCTAATTGGAGACCATCGCGAGACCATCGCGAGACCTCCCCAAAATTTTCAGGTCTTAACGGTGGTCTCGAATTGGAGAGCGAACTGTATTTATATAAGATGTAAACTGCTCTTTGTTTTCGAAGAAATACAATTTGACATTAAACTACTCTTTGTTTTCGAAGAAATACAATTTGACAACTGATGCCAGTGTGCAACCCCCCCCCCCCCGTAAGTTTAAATTTAAATTAAAGTCTGAGCGTTCCATTTCCGGCCATTTAGAGCATGGAGGTTGAGGTGGTCTAGATTCTCCATTTGTGAAAGTCCGTCCCTGGGTCCCTCTATTTCGAATTCCTGGATCCCACACTGGTAGCTGTAATTGATATCGACATCATTGAGGTACATCCATGACTAATATCACTCTATTTATAAAGACGGTGTCATTTGGGCCTACCTCTATCACTTTCGTTTAACTTTAAAAATAATATTTAAAATTAAAAAGCCCCAAGTTCTAAAGAACGTTCCTTTAGCCAGTTTCAGGTATTTGATTTGTTTAGCGAGTAACTTGGAATGTATGTTGTTGTTGAATAGAATACAGTTATGTCAGTGCATGCCTCTGTTGAGGGAAATTGTCTAGCTATGCCTTGAATGCCTAACAACCGTAGTCAAATAATAAACATATATGATGACAGAATTCTCATGTATAACTATTGGATTAACAATGCAAAATGTTCAATAATGTACTTACATTTGCTATTAATTGTCTTCTTCGTAGTCTTTCAACTCCATTACAGTCTAGCATTGTTTACAGTATATGTAAAAACTCCACCTGGAGAGGTATAAAGAAATTCATTATTCTTTTTCTAAAGCGCTATTCCTTTATGATAATGTGAATA